CCCCCCGCTGCACCCCAACCCCCTGGCCTCCTGCACCCCTTAGCCCCCCCAGCACCCCTCCGTCCCCTGCTGCACCCCGGCCCGCTGCACCCCGCACCCTGCCCCCCGCAACATGCTGTGCCCCAGTCACTCGCTCTGTCCCGCAGAAGGAACGGGAGAACGGCTCCAACCTGGTATTCATGTTCCGCCTGCCTTTCGCTGCGGGGAAGGTCTTCAGCGTCAGCATGCTGGACACGCTGCTCTACCAGGTACCCCAGGGACCCCCTGCCTGGGGACCCCCCCTCCCTGCCCCAGGGACCCTCCCTCTCTCCCTCCCTCCCCACTCCCAGCAACCCCCCTCCAAACCCCAGGGACTGTGGGGACCTTCCCTCCCTGCCCTTAGGGACCCCCCTCAGGGAAACATCCTGCCTCTGGGGACCCCCCTTCCTGCCCTTGGGAACCCTCCCTGGGGACCCCCCCACCCTCAGGGACCTCCCCTCCCTGCCCTTGGGCCCCCGCCTTGGGGATACCCTCTATTCCCTGCTCCTGGGAACCCCCTCCCCCACTCCCAGCCCTGCAGCCCCTTGCCTCCTTCTGTACCAGGTAACCCCTGCTCCAGAAAAGTCCCACTCCTGGGTAACCAGCCATCCAGGTAACCCCCCACTCCTGCCCCCCCCGTGGGACGTTACAGCCCCCCTCACTCCCCCATAGGACGTGCCAGCCCAGAGCCGGCTGTGCTGGGTCCAGGGGCCAGGCTGGCCACACAGAGCTGCACTGTGCAATCCGCCCCCACCCCCTCCTTGCCAGCAGGGGGAGATGGGGAGTCGGGTGAGGGATGGCCCAGAAAGCTCCCCTTTGACCCTCCCCCCGTCCTGCAGTCGTTCGTGAAGGATTACATGATCTCCATCACCCGCCTGCTCCTGGGACTTGACTCCATGCCAGGCTCCGGCTTCCTGTGCGCGGTGAGTACCCGACCGGGTGCTGCCTGGCACCTGCCCCTCACCCCGGCCTCTGGACATGTGTGTCTGCATCACTCTGCCTGCCTCTCACCTGTCCTATCCATCCCTCTGCTTTACACATCTGTCTGGCTGGTGATGCGTCCCCTCACACGGCCCTCCGTCCATCCGTCTATCCGTCCCCTCACACGGCCCTCTGTCTGTCCATCCCTACGCACAGCCCTCCGTCTGTCCGTCCCCTCACACGGCCCTCCGTCCATCCGTCTATCCGTACCCTCACACGGCCCTCTGCCAGCTGTCTGTCCGTCCCCTCACACAGCCCTCCATCCATCCGTCTATCCGTCCCCTCACACGGCCCTCTGTCTGTCCATCCCTACGCACAGCCCTCCGTCTGTCCGTCCCCTCACACGGCCCTCTGGCCAGCTGTCTGTCCGTCCCCTCACACGGCCCTCCATCCATCCGTCTATCCGT